AATACTTTTAGAGATTTACTTTAAAAATTTTTTTATTATTTTATAGGTATGTGTGTATTGCCTGCATGTATGTAATTGCACTTGTGTCATACAATGTCCATGGAGATCAGAAGAGGGCATCAGGTCCCCTGGAACTGGAGTTAAAGACAGTTGCTAGGTCATGTGGGTGCTGGGAACTGAACCTGGGTCCTCTGCAAGAGCAGCGAGTGCTCTTAACTGCTGAGTCATCTCCTCCAGTCCCTAGAGATCTACTTTTACAATTTTTTGTTTCTAGTTTGGTACTTGCACATTTGTTGGAATAAATATCTCTTCCAATTTTATTTGAGGGTCTTCTTAGTGAACATCCTTCTTTAAAGAACTCAAATCCCTAGTACTATCTAGGCAACAACAACAATGTTGTTTAGGCTCATGCTGTACGTAAGCTGAGAGCCTGACCATTCAAAGGTCAGTTCATTTGGCAGCTTCAGGACTGCATTTACTTTAGAAGCTTCCCTTCTTTGTGTTTAAGGACCTCTACTGCTGGCCATACTGAACTTTGCAGCCTGTTAGCCATGCAGGCCTCTACTTGTAGCAACTTTTCAGGCTAAATGGTATCCTTTGAGAGCATCAAACTGAGTGAAGCAAACAGCACTGAGATGTGTATTATGGGGGAGATCCAAGGAATTCTGGTATTCTGTTTACCAGTTTTAGAGCTTTCAGGTCCTGTCCAGCAATAAGCTAGCCTCTGGGAGGGAAGAAGTTGCAGAAATTGAGCAGTCCCTCAGACCTGGCTCAGAGCTCTTGGGTCCTGCCTGACAGCAAACAACACATGCTGTCCATGGGCTTAGGTTTCTCATTCTGTGCAGTCATCTTCAGCTGATGAGGCTTTCTTCTTGACACAGAGAAAAACAGCCTGTCACTGACCCTATCACAGCCAGAGTTCCGTGTTACTAAACTTTGCAGTGAATCAGTGTCCAGCCCTCTCCCACCCAAAACTACCTTTTACGGCCATCTTCCATCATACCCGGTGACTGAGTGTCCCTGGGTTCCCTGTGATGGAGTTGTTCCCTTCCTTCAGGTCCCTAGAATTGCTCAATCTCAAACAGTGGGTTCTTTTTCAAGATGATGCTTGGCTATAGTAGTCTGAGATAGGGAGAGTGGCAAAAGATTTCTCTCCATGGCTGACCTTCCACTACAGAGGAGTCACTGTCAAATCAAATCTATTACCTTTAAGGCTAGGAGAACTCTGAGTTTCTCCCTTGCCCAGGGACCACCATCTGTTCTCACCAGGGATACTACCTTACTTTGTGATTTGACTTTCCCTCTCCCTGCTGGAGTTAGAGCTGTGAGCTGTTTCCAGTGTTTCTCTGCATTAGCTTTTCTGCATCTCTGTGCTCTGCTGTTGTCCTGATTTCTCTTCCATGATTCCCAATGTTCTCCAGAATAAAGTCTGTTCTTCGTTACTCTTGACAATTCTCATTCACAGACTCACATGGAGGAAGCTTTTAAACTGCCTGGAAGCTCAGATAGGTATATCGTTTGTAGTTCAAATACACCACACTTCTCTCCTTATACTTTTGAAATCTCTCTCTCTCTCTCTCTCTCTCTCTCTATATATATATATATAGTCTAGTATCACTATGATTCTGTAAATACTGTTCATTGTAGAACCAAGAAATATGCTATGATCACATTTCCATTTTTGTATAACTTTTTGTTTTTCCAAGAGTTAATTATTGTTTTGGGTTTTCTAAAAAAGCATATATTTATATTTATAAATACCTTTATAGATATTATATTTATAAGTATCTTTCTGTTTGCTATAAGAAATTTTTGTAGTAACTCACTTCTCAATACAGTATTACATGTAGTCAAATCTCTTATATCATCTCTAGTTCTTTCCTGGATAAGTCATCCTTGATCCCTAGGTTTTGCTGTATAATCTTGACCATAAGCTCTGTTGATTAGTATAGCTATTATTATGCATAGCTGTCATTCTTGGGCATGCCTTTCCTATCATCCTGGCAGTTTTCACTTCTCATATGTCGAATCCTTTGGTGTTCTGAATCCCATATTTGCCTTGTTTTTCCATATATGTCAACTCTAGTACCTTTTGTTATTCTCCTTGGGATTGTGGTAGTTTAGAAAATTAATTGAGCATTTTTTACATTTTGATGATTTTGAATTTCCTTACTAAGAACATAATTCACTTTCTATATATTCAAATAATAGTAAGTTGTATTATACAAGAGTATTTTGAAATTTCTAATAGTCATTTTTCAAATTTTTGGTTAAGTTTTTACTACATTTTTCTTGCTATTATAGATATGACTTTATTTTTCAAATAAACAGTCATATTGATTATTTTGATATGTGGAAAATAAATACCATTATATGTGTATATGCTTTTCTACTAGATAAAATGTTGCATTTTAGGCTGATTATATGTTCATACATACATACATACATACATACATACATACATACATACATTCATGTGGGGCTGGAGATATGGCTCAGTGGTTAAGACCACTGGCTACTCTTGCAGAAGACCCAGGTTTAGTTCCCAGCACCCACATGGCCACTAAACACTATGCTTAATTTCACTTCCTGGGGATCTGAGGCTCTATTCTGACCTCTGTAGGCATTTCATGACATAGTTGCACTTCTATACATGCAGGCAATACACTTATATACATAAAATAAAAAGAAAAAATAATATTTATAGTAAAAATTACAGCATAACCCATGTGGTGCAGACACCACACAAGGCCCCTGGCCACCTAGCTCAGGGTGCAGGGGCCAGGCAGTGGGGGTATCCAGGAGGCAGCTGTGAGCACCTCACCATGCACCTCTATTGCCAAGGGCTGGAACTGAGGGCAGCCACTGAGCCATGCACCTGTGATCAGCCGGCCATCACACAGGCAACAAACCCCAAGGAGGATGAGGGCTGATCACCAGGTGCAGGTGAGAAAGGACTTGGCAAGTAAGAAAGTGGCTGAAGAGCCAAGGTGGCAGCAGTGGCAGCTCTCTGCAAAATGCGACTGGGGATAAGATGAGGTTTCATCACAGGCTTCCCCTGGCCAGTAAAGAAGATGTGAAGGCTACAGTTACCAAAAAAAGCCAACAATAACCTTGATCACAAAAGAACAATAACAGTAACAATAACAGCAAAAAAACCCACACCATCTGTCTTCTTGACCAAAAGCAAAAGATGGTGTTCTCCAATATTGATGTCCTTCTAGCAAGAAATTCAAGTCATCAAGTAACTGTTGCCTCTCCTCTGTTGGCTGCACAGAAGCCTAAATGCTCTTAACCACAAGTATAATCTTGTGGACAGAGCAATGGAGACAGGAAAATAGAAACCAGCCTAATTGAAATTGTGATCCCTTCCCTGATCCTGAACTGTGATTACTTCCTGTTAACTTGAAGCTCCTGTTAACAGGAGCTGTGGTCCTGTCCTGTGAACCTGGGGCTGTGATAGTCTCTCCTGAGCCTGGAGCTGTGGTCCCTTCTCATCATTCTAGAACTGTGGTTGTCTCTCATGAACCTAGTTTTGTACTACCCTCCTGAGAGCTTGGAACTCTGTTCCTTTCCTGTGAGCTGGAGTTGTGCTTATCTTCCATGAACCAGAGCTGCAGTCCCCTCCTGTGTGCTTGGGACTATGGTTGCCTCCTGTGAACCTTTAGCTGTGGTCCCCTCCCTTGAACCTGGAGCTTTGGTCCCTCCCTGGGAGCTGGAACTGTAGTCTGTCCTGGGAGCTGGTATGGTAGCCCCCTCCCATGAACCAGAGCTGTAGTCCCCTTCTGTGAACTTGGAGCCTTGGTCTCTTGTAAGCTGGAGCTCTGGTCCCCTCATATGAGCCTGGAGCTTTCATCTTCTACCATGAACCGCTGTTCCACATTCCTCTGGTGGTAGGCTGATGGTGGAGCAGAGTGGAGGACAGAGGACTTCCTGATTTGGACAACAGTTTCAGCCTTCTCTAAGTGGCTACATTCCCAAAGCCCCCTCCCCTGAAGTACCAAGTTGTGTATGGCAGTGCTTTGCCTCTTATGCTGGGGACAGGTGAGGTCTCTGCCATTTGCACATTCTAGTCTTGGGAGGACTGATTCTCTAGAGCGGACCTCCTACCTCCCCTGAGGGCAGCTGTGCTCTTCACACATGGTCCTGGGCATCTAGGGCTTGGTGTTGGACCTCTCCCATTACCAGGCACCTAGACGTTTTCCTATTTTTCCGTTTCTCTTCTACAACCCAGTGTGCCTTCACCTGTGCCCTATGGAAAATGTAAAACATCTAATTGAACTTCTAGAGATAAAAATCACAGTCTGGGAAGTTAAAATAAAATACAAATTACTGTAATAACTAAACTGATACAATTCTCAAACTAAAAATGCGTAATTGTATTTCAGAATATAAATTAGCAAGTCTATATGCCTACTATTATTTTTTAATACTGTTTACTGACAAAACTGTACTACCAAGGTTCCACAATAATGTGAAATTTGTCAGTTACTAGAATGTGAGTTTGCCATTCACTCCCTTTCCACATTCTCTATACAAAGTTTTTCAATGTATTATGTTGTTTATGTTGTTTCATAAAGAAAGAAATGCTAATATTTGTTTTTAAAAATCATAGCATAGTTCCATATCCTAATACTTTAGTTTATAGTACATGTAATTTAGCCTCAGCAGTCTATAATTGGTATATAAAAATAAATGTTCATGATTTATCACTAATTCCAGCTTTTGTATCAGATTAGATTTCTAACTGAGATAACATGCTAGTCTAACGGGGAACTGGAGAATACAATCAAGTTATGAATGTTCATTGACCTGTACCTGGGAAACCATTTTTTAGGAGGATCTTAAATATCAGACACAAGAATTTGTTAATTCAGAATAGGTAATTAGAAGTTATGAAAGATATTTGAACAATCTAGAGGAAAATTAATATGAAGTATGGAGAATTTTTAATGTTTATCACTTAACTGAATTTTTAATCATATTTTTTTTTCTCTCAGGAAATTGAACTTAGCTCATTAAGAGAAGCTTTGTCATTTGTATCATTAATTGATGGATATTATAGACTAACTGCAGATGCACACCATTACCTCTGTAAAGAAGTAGCACCACCAGCAGTGCTTGAGAATATACAGAGCAACTGTCATGGCCCAATTTCGTGAGTAATGCAAAATTTAAAAGTACATCTTTGGGTTCTGGGGAAATGGCCCAGTGGGTAAGAATGCTTGCTTTGCAAGCATGAGGACTTAAGTTTGGATCCCAAGCACCCATGTAAAAAAACGAGCTTGCTGCATGTAACTGTAACCCTAGTTTTGTGCTGTGGAAACAGGCAGACCCTGAGAGCTCTCTGGCCACCAGCATAGCTGAAAGCTTCTGGTTCAGTGAGAGACCTTGTCTAAAAGTAGTAAGGCTGAGAGTGACCTCTGCATAAAAGCGCGTGCGTGCACGCGCGCGTGCACACACACACACACACACACACACACACTTTTAAAAGGTAGGTGCTGTACAGTCTGTCTTCCTGATCACAGTTTCTTCATTCATGGATGTGATCAGCCACAGATCCAAAATAGTGTTTTGAAAATTGTGTCTGGTTGGGGGAATGTAGCTCAGTGGTAGAGTACATGTCTAGCATGTGTGAGACTTTGGGTTCAATCCCAGTACAAAATAAAGATGATGACAGAACAACAAATATAAAATAAGAATTTGTGTCTGTAATATACTTTCATCAACTTTTTTCTTGTTATCTCCTAAACAATACAGTTTAACAGTTTATATCGCATTTACATTATACTAGGTGAAATACTGTGGAGATTATTTACTATATAGGGGAGGACTTTATATGCAAATTATGCTATTTTAAATAAGGAATTTGAGCATTGTCAGATTTTGCCTTTGAAACTAAGCCCCTGCAGATACCAAGGGACAAGATTTCATATAATAGATACAGGTTTAGGACTTTTGGTAAAATTATAATACTTGCAAAATTCTATTTACATTAATCAGATTACATGACAATTAGGGTTATTTAGGACATGGTTTTTTTATATCCCAATCTGTCATGCTTATAACACACAAATTCAACATTTAGTTTCTAATGCATGCAGAATTAACTCTTAGATGTTACTTTAAAAAAGAGATTTCTGTGGGCTGGGTTCAATCATTCCCCAACATTGGAAGGAAGCAAACACGAAGCCCTCCCATGTATATTTCATTAATTTTGAAATACTATGAAGAAACCATAATGCAAAGTTTGAAATTTGACATTATTTTTGAATAGTCTTTAACTGAAACTTAAAACATAAAATGTGTTTTAAGTTACCTGTATTTACCTGTATTTCTAGACAAGTACTGTGTAGTGGAACTTTCCACAGTGATGAAAATGTTCACTATTTGGGCTTTCTAACTGAAATGTCGTTAGAATTTTATGTTTAATTCAATTTTATTAAATACCTACACATGCCTAAAAACTGCCATATGACCCACATGGTTGTAGACTTTTGCTTTAATACTCAGGAAAGTCAACAAATGTCAAAACCTCTGTTCAGTCCAAACCCTGGTTATTATTTACCTAGGGTGTGTTTTATGATTGACCACATTTGCAGAGTCTGAGCAGGAGAAAAATCTGGGATTGTGAACATGTTACTTGATTTTAATATGCCTGTAAATGTTTGAGAATATGTCTTGGAAATATCTTAAATAATATTTAAGACTTGCTTTAGTCTATGTTTAATGTCTGTCTAGTTATATTTGTTGTGAAAAATTTGTACTGCTTGAGCATTGTATTTGTGATTTACACTTTTAAAAGAACTCCTATGCCAGACATGGTGGCACATGCCTTTAATCCCAGCCCTCCCGAGGCAGAGGCAGGCAGATCTCAGTGAGACTGAGGCCAGCCTGGTTCACATAGTGACTTCCAGGTCTGCTGGGACGAGGAAGACCCTGTCTAAAAACAAAACAACAACAACAAAAAGAACTCCTTGCATTATTCACTTAGCCAACTACTCATTCAGCTAGTCCTCATTTGTAGGATATTTCCTGAGTACATAGAGAATGCAGGCAGTGTTTCAGATATGAGAAATACAGTGATAAGTGAAACAGAATTGTTTTCTGCTTTTGCATAAATTGCATCTTCTTTTTAAGTACTGCACCTTCAAAACTACCATTTTTATTGGATTTTTGTGATTTTCATATAATATAATTTGATGGTATTTAGATTCCCTCTCAGCATATTTTTAAGACTAGTCTTTTTCAGTTATCATAGGTCTTCTGTAGACTTTGATGGTAGACCAAATTTAAAAATAATGCACATACATTCATGTTAGTACTTTTGTGACAGAAGAGACATGAGAAGTGCTTTATAGTGTATTGTCTTCATTGTTAAATGAAGTTTATAGTAGGGTGGTTTTTAAATGACTAAATTTGTAATCAGAAAGAAAATTCAAATGAATGCTTTGTTATTTTACTGCCTTTTAAAAATATTTTATCTGTTATTTTATGTGTATGAGTGTTTTGCCAGCATGTATGCAAGTGGACCTGTCTCATGCAATGCCCGCAAAGGACATTGGATCCCCTGGAACTAGAGTTACAGACAGTTAGTTGTTAGCTGCCATGTGGGGGCTGGGAACCAAACCCCGGTCCTCTACAAAAGTAGCCAGTGCTCTTAACTGCTGAACCACCTCTCTGCCTCCATTTTACTGTCTTATATGTCTTTAGTGTCTTATATGTGGGTTTTGGCTTTGAGGGTGTTTTTTGGTCTTTTTGAGACAGGGTCTCAAAACTGTAGCCTAGTTTGGCCTGGAGCTCACTATGTAGACCAGGCTAGCCTCAATCTGACAGAGAGCTGTTTACTTCTGCCTCCTGAGTGCTGGGATTAAAGGCATATGCTACCATACCCTGCTCTTGTGTTTTAAAAATAATTGCCCCCAGCCAGGCGTGGTGGTGCATGCCTTTAATCCCAGCACTTGGGAGGCAGAGGCAGGCGGATCCTTGTGAATTCGAGGCCAGCCTGGTCTACATAGTGAGTTCCAGGACAGCTGGGGCTACAGGGAGACCCTGTCTCAAAAAGACCAAAAAAAAATTTGCTCCTTAAATTGGTTTGAATCTATTGCAGAATAACTTTATAACATTTCTTTTCCTTGAAAAATTATTTATAAACATAAAGTAGAACAGTTCTGAAAATTCTGCCTCTTTTATTTCATAGTTGTAACATTTTCTCAATAGTGTCATGGTACTTGCTGTTGTTCAAATTATTTCTTCTTAACTTTTAGAATGGATTTTGCAATTAGTAAACTGAAGAAAGCGGGTAATCAGACTGGATTATATGTACTTCGATGTAGTCCTAAGGACTTTGATAAATATTTTCTGACCTTTGCTGTTGAGGTTAGTGTGTCACATTTATTATGTAACATGTTGTGTAATCTGTTTTTTTCTACCATGAAGTATTTCATTTTTAATACTTAGAATTACAGTTCTTAATATGGCAACTGTCATAATAATGCTTACTATATTCCAGGGATCTGCACAAATATTCCTAGGGTTTATATAAAAATATAAAATAGTACATAATATCTTTCTGTCTTTTAATTGTTGTTTATTTTATTTTTTGATGTTTGAATATTACCAGTGTGTCAGTATTTGTTCACATACATTAAAATGTTTACCAAGTCAGGTAGAACAAAATAAATGGAAAAATACATTTTCTTATTACTAGCAATGGTTACTGATTGGAGCAAAATAGGGCAACAGAAACATGGTAGTGCTCTTAACTAGTAGTTTCCCAGTATTAGGAGTAATGGTTTATAATGTCTGATTTAAATGTAAAAGTGCAATGAATCCTCACTGTTGAATGCATATAATCTTGTCTCACCTAAGGATATTTACTATCTAAACTTATCTTTAAAAATATATGTAAGGCAGTTACATAGTCCAAATCTTGAGAAAATTTGTAGCAACAAATTTATTTTACTTTTTAAAAATAGAGAAAGTAGGGGCTGGAGAGATGGCTCAGTGGTTAAGAGCACTGACTGCTCAGGCAGAGGACCCAGGTTCAATTCCCAGCACCCACATGGGGGCTGACAACCATCTGTAACTCCAGTTGGAGGGGATCTGACACTTTCTTCTGACCCTTGCAGGCATTGGACATGGGTACACTTACACACATACAAACAGCACACTCATACACGTAAAATAAAAATGATAATTAAAATATTTTTTAAAAATAGAGAAAGTAAACATTCTGTTACTCAGTTCTTTTCATAAAAGTAACCATGTTGCATTTAGCTCTTGTATTTAGCACATGCAAGAGTGAGTTGTCTGTAAGTGTAGAAGGTAAATTACTCCATCATTTTACCAGTATAAAACTGGTTATCCTAGTGTCAGAATATTTTCTTACCATAACATATGACTGTCTGTTGTGTTAAATTGTCAATTTAAACTGCATATATTTTGTACTTATATGTACCAGCCTACCATGAGTGATATGAATTAGGAAACATATGATATAATCCTACACAGAAACTCACTATTTGGGAAACAAAAATTTTAAAGTATACTAAGAACACTAAATTGTACGTTGTGATTGGTTTAAGAAAAATAGTGTTAGAAATAAGTCCAGTGTGGTCACGCATACCTTTAGTTCCAGCACTCAGGAGGCAGAGGCAGGCAGAACTCTGAGATCAAGGCCAGCCTGGTCTGCATAGTGAGTTCCAGGCCAGCTGGGGCTAACAGAGAGACCCTGTCTTTAAAAAACAAAAACAAAAACAAAAAAACCCCCACACATTTGTTAAGACATATCCTTTAGAGTAGGAGAGACATGAGATTACTTTGAGAAGTTAATAGGTGCTTTAGAAATTATTCTAAGTATGAATAGTATGCTAATAAAAAAACAAGCCAAAAATGTTAAGATGAGTGAAGAAGCTGATTTCTTAATGCACAAAGAAAATATTTTAAAGTGAAAAATACTTCATATTATATTTAGATGCCATATGGGAGATGGTTATACAAGTAGAATAGCATACAATGGAATGTGTATTCTCTTTTATTACAGAATGGAGTTAGAGAGGACCTCACCAGTGTAGGTATTACTTGAACTGAGTTAAGGAGATTAAAATAAAACTAGATTGTATGTTGGGGCTGGAGGTTGGAAATGGAGGAAGAAATGAGCTCAGGAGGGCCTAGTACACTACACCAGCTTTAGAATTTACCTTAGAAACAATAGAATGCTGTTAAGGACAGTGTTGCTAATAGAACTTTTCAACAAAGTCAGTTATCAAGCCACTTCTGTAGGCTATAGCATTACAATTAGACAACTTTTTGAAGTGCTGCTTTAGGGTTTACAGTTCAAATGTCTAAATATATTCTCTTGGTTGTTTTTATGATACTCCTTTTGGCAGAATAATCAATATGACCACTATTGTGATTTTCCCTCTTTTTATAATCAAATTCATATAGCGAGATAATATCATTGAATATAAGCATTGTTTGATTACAAAGAATGAGAACAGAGAGTACAACCTCAGTGGGACTAAGAGGAACTTCAGCAGTCTTAAAGACCTTCTGAACTGCTACCGGATGGAAACTGTTCGCTCAGACAATATAATTTTCCAGTTTACTAAATGCTGTCCCCCAAAGCCAAAAGGTAAAATAACTTTCTAGTTATTTTAAAAATACTAGTCGTGGACTTTGTTTTTCGTGGATGGTGTCTTCAGTATATTGATTTCAAAAGAAATATGTAAGAAGTAATTTTTTACAAAAGCACATTTTGTCTCATCCTTTTATAAAGTGTCATCAAATAGAATTGTATACATTGGTTTGAATTGTCTATAAGTGATTTGAAGTTCTGTTCATCTGAGATGATATTTTAAAGATAGTAATTGCTTGGTATAAGTCAGTCATTTACTTATGGAACTGAACCAATCTCACTACCAAATTTTCATGTGTTTTCAGTAAACACTTTTATATTATTTTTAGATTTCTTGCTATTAAAATAAAATAGATGGGAAATCTCTTAAAATAATCTCTTCTTAACATCAGAAAAATATTAAAGAAGTGATTGTAATTTTGAACGCATGATACAACTGGTAAATGTATATCAAAGTTGAAGAATAAAACCCCTAAAATAATCTTCTACAAAATGATGAACAGTATGCAACTACAGAGTGCTTCTTACATATAAAACATACTCATTTACTTACCTCTGGAGCAATTCGTATTTTCAGTCTGTTTAGATGTTATATACAGATTCACCCACATATGTATATATGTGTGTGTGTATTTTTTTCAGATAAGTCAAACCTTCTAGTCTTCAGAACAAATGGTGTTTCTGATGTTCACATCTCACCAACGTTACAGAGGCATAATAATGTGAACCAAATGGTGTTCCACAAAATCAGAAATGAAGATTTGATATTTGTAAGTCGAATTGATATTAAAGCATGATCTTTTTTTTTCATCCTTTTAAATCAATGTCTTTTTTATTTCTTGATATTACATTCACGTGATACTTGAATTATAGCCTCTATTTTAAAATTTTGCTTGGATTTAAAATGTGTATAATTTATGAGCCATAAATCTTATGAAAATATATTAACCTCATATCAAAAATTAGCCAAATAATAGTTATATTCTTTTATCAGAAAATTTAAATACCTCTTTGCAAATCTTAAAAGGTAAAGATACACAAAAGACCTCTAGCTTAACTTTCATCTAAGGGAAATTCAGTGGTTTATTTTTAAGGGACTGAAAACCAAATAGTACATAAGAGTTGATGATTTGACTGTTATGTGATATATGATGGGGCTAGATTTTAGAATCCTTAATCACATGGGTTAAGAATAAAAACATTACAAAGAAAGAAGGCCAGTCTTAGGTTTGTGAAGGCAGGAACAAAAAATGAGAGCATCTTTGAATAAAGCCAGGACCTACAAGAGTATGCATCTTCAGTAAGATCATATATGCAATGTTAAGAGTTTACCCACTAGAAAGAGAAGAAAGGAATATTGTCTGTTTTAATTGGGTTCTTAGTGAGGAGAAAGTCTCTCACAGGAATTTATAAGCTTTTGAGTTGAGATTTTTTTATATTAACCTATATTGAGAAACACTAAGCCAATAAGTTAAAGGCAGTAATGAAAGGTGCTTGGTGAGGCTGGAGAGATGGTTAAGAGTACTGGCTGCCCTTGCAGAGGACCCAGGTTCGGTTACCAATACCCATATGATGGCTAAAAACTGTCCATAATTCCAGTTCCAGGAAATCTGAAATTTTCTTCTGACCTCCGTTGGCATTGCATGACATGGGTGCACTTAGATACATGCAGGCAATGCACTGATAACACATAAAATAAATAATTTTTAATATTTATTTTCTGGAAAATGTCAGAACAGTCAGCCCTGTGATTTTTCTCTAGTACGGGCTGCTCTCTGTACCTCTTTTTTCTAGGAGAAGTGTATCCACAAAGTCTTGCTTCATCAGACTCAGCCTTCTTTCTCCTCTGTTAAGCTTAAATTTTAAGCTGTTAAGCTGGGCATGGTGGCACAGCACTCAGGAGGCAGAGGAAGATGGATCTCTCTAAGTTTGAGGCTAGTCTGATCTACTTAAAGCAAGCAAAATATTCATTCACATAAAAAATAAAATAAGCTTTAAAAAAGATAGATCTGATGTAGCTCAGAGGTAGGATGCTTGTTTACATGCTAAAGGTCCTGAAATCAATCCCCAACACGTCAAATTTAATGCCACCAACAAAGCTCAGGTTTATTTTATCAAGTATATTGACATATACCTGTCATCTTAGTACTGTGGGGGCTAAAGCAGGATTATCATGAACCTGAAGCCAGCTTAGGGTACAGCAGTGAATTCCAGGCCAGACTCAGAAACACTGAGAGTCCCTGGTGAGAGAAAGGGAGAGAAAGAGAGAGGCTGATAAAGGAGGGACAGAGGGACAGAAAGTGGGGAGAGAGTAATGGAGAGGGAGACGGCAGGAGTATCTAAGAAAGCTGTAGCACAAGAGATTAAGTAGCCAGGTCGAACAGCCAGTAAGTAAGGAACAAGTTCAATGTTCTGCCTCCATATACCACCTGCCTTAAAAAAATAATTTATTGAGAATTTCATACTTGCATATAAGGTGCTTTGATCAAATCCATGCCCACTCCCGCCCCTCCAACTCCTCCCATATCTCCCCATCACTTTTTTCTGATAACTTCATGTACTCTTTCTTCTTCTTCTTTTTTTTTTTAAATGGGGCTTTTTGCAACTCTAACAGTTCCCCCTCTGAAGAGGTAACCCTAAAATCTTTCAAGGATTAGATAAAAGCTCTCAAGTACTTTTGACATTTTTGGCCTTTGGAACAGAGTATGTTGCTAAGAGGCCCAAGGACATTTTGAGTTTTAGCCAAGAAACTGTCTGCACTAGTTAGGAAAGTTAAAGAAAAAGTCTCATCTGTAAACAAATTTAGGTAAACACTGACTTTTAAAAAGCTGCAGTAATTGGCTCCAGTAAGGGGCACTATAGGAGGGTGCTGGTGGGGACGGGAGTATAAAGATGATTAAGATTGATTGAGTTGTTCTGTGTGAAATACACAAAAATTCAATAAAAAGAAACTTTTTAAAAAACTGCAATAATTATAGCCATTGCAGATTTGAAAATGAGGTAGAGCCAAAATACACTCTATTCATTAATTCCTATAATTCATTAATTCATATAATTTATTTTTTTCTTTTTTAAAATTACTACTTAAGGAAGAACAGAGAATTAAAATGAAAGCTTAAATCTAGGATTAGTTTGTAAGGGAAATATTTACTTGGTTATTTTAAAAGTCTTTGTCGTTGAATGTGTTTTCTAATTTCTCTATTTTTATTCATTTTTCTCCTTAACTTTTTTTTCTCTTAAAGAATGAAAGCCTTGGCCAAGGTACTTTTACCAAAATTTTTAAAGGTATAAGAAGAGAAGTAGGAGATTATGGTCAGCTGCATGAAACAGAAGTTCTTTTGAAAGTTCTGGATAAAGCACATAGAAACTATTCAGAGGTGTGTATGCCTGCTGAACGCTTCATATACCTTATACTATGTAAAGATGCACATTCATAATCATAAAATTCATGTAGATGCCCTCAAAAGTATATAATTTTGGTGCTTTTTATTAGCATATATTATACATAATAATGAGTTTCATTATGAAATTTTCATGCATGTACAGAGTGTATTTTTTTATTTATGTAAGTTTTACTTAAGAATTTCCAACAGTGGGGCTGGAGGGTGGCTCAGTGGTTGAGAACACTGGCTGCTCTTGCAGAGGACCCAGGTTCAATTTCCAGCATCCACATGGTGGCTCACAACTGTCTGTAACTCCAGTTCTAGGGGATCCAACCCTCTTCTGACCTCTGTGGGCAGTGCAGGAAATGGGTTCACTTATATACATACAGGCAGTATACTCATACACATAAAATAAAAAAATAATAAATAAAATATTAAAAATTAATTTCCAACAGTAAGAAGTCTTATAAAAAAGCATCCAAGCACAGGACACAGAACAACAGCAAAATAATCACTTTTCCCAAGGGAGTCAATGAAAAACATGTTCAATGTCCAGTAATATCCAGTTCCCACTGCACTGTGGTCAGTGAATCAAACAGGAAGCCAAACTCACAGTCGCTGCCTGAAAGGGGCACCACTTACTACTCCTTTTCAAATTACTCTTTTTTTGTTCTTGATTCCAAATATTATAATTTATACATACAAGTGTTTGTTTACATATGTACATGTATACACTATAGGCTAGGATCCACATGTGAGGGAAAGCAATCCTTTATTTTCTGAGTTTGGGTGACCTCACATTCTAGATCCATCCATTTTACTGTAAATCCTGTGATTTTTCTTTTGAGTTGAATAATATTCCATTTTTTATATGTACTAGATTTTGGTTATCCACTTATTTGTTGGTGAACAACTAGATTGGTTCCATTTCCTTGCTGTAGTGAATAAAGCAGCAATAAATATAGGGTGCTAATATCTGTACAGTAAGGTATGGAGCTAGTCTGCTTTTAAGTCCAGGAGTAAGATAATTGGGTCATATAGTATCTCAATTTTTAATTTTTTGAGAAACTTCCAAGCTGATTTCCATAATGGCTATACTAATGTGTACTCTTACCAGAAGTGAATAAGGGGTCCTCTTCTCCAGCTGAACTACAACATTTGTTGTCAGATTTCTTCACAGTAGCCATTCTGACTGAAGAGAGGTGGCATCTCAAAGTAGTTTTAATTTGCATTTACCAGATGACTAGGAGTGTTGGCCAGTTTTTAAAATAGTTATTGGCCATTTGTATTTCTTTTTCTGAAAAATGTCTATTCAATTTCGTGGCCCATAATTTTATTTCCTTGTCATTTAATTTTTGTAGTTCTTTGTTTAATTGTCCCTTTGTTTGATGTTTAGCTGGTAAAGATTTTCTCCCATTCTGTGGACTGTGTGCTCTGCTGATAGTTTCCTTTGCTATGCAGAAACTTTTTAATTTCACATAGTCCCATCTGTTGATACTTAGTGCTAATTCCTATACTATCGATGTTCTGTTCCTAATGTTTTTGCCCACCCTGATGTCCTGAAGAGTAGTCCCTATATTTTCATCTAGGAGTTTCAGAGTTTCAGGTTTTAAATTAAGATCTTTGATGCGTTTTGAATTGATTTTTGTACAAGGTGAAAGTTGTGACTCTAATCTCATTCTTCTACAGGTGGAAATCCATTTTTACCAACATCATTTATTGAATAGACTTTTTTCTAATGTATGTTTTTGCCTCCTTTATGAAGAATGAGATGAGGACAGCTTTGTCACTTTATTCCCAGGTCCTCTATTCTGTTCCATTGGTCTACCTGTCTGGTTTTATTCTAGTACCATGCTGTCTTTATCACTATAGCTCTGTAGTATAGTCTGAGGTTGAGTATTGTGATACCTCTGGCTATGTTCCTACCCCTTAGGATTTCTTTGGCTATTTGTGGTCTTTTGTGGTACCATATGAATTCTTGGGTTTTTTTCTAGTTCTATGAAATATGACATTGGAATTTTGACAAGTATTGCATTAAATCTGTAGATTAATTTTGGTAGTATAGCCATTTTCACAGTATTGATTCTGCCAATCCAGAGTCATGGAAGTTCTTTACATCATCTAGTATTTTCTGATTTCCTTTTTCATTGTCTTAACTTTTTCATTGTAGAGGTCTTTGTCTTCTTTAGTTTGGTATATTCCTAGGTGCTTAATTTTTTATACTATTTTGAGTGGAATATTTTTCCTAGTTTCTTTCTCAGAGAGCATATTGTTGGTATATAAGAAACTTACTGGTTTGTTTTGTTTCTATATTGATTTTGTATCCTGCAGCTTTACTGTATTTGTTAGATCCAGGAGTTTTCTAGTCGATTCCATAGGGTCTTAGGTATAGACTGCTTTCATCTGTAAATGTACATGATATAGAATGTATTTTGAACACATTCACCCACTGCCCTCCAGTGCCCCCTTCCACTCCTGCAAATCCTCTTTCTCTTCCCAAATAACCCCCATTCTGTCATGTCTTTTTAGTGTGTGTGACCCATTAAGTTTCATTGGGGTTGCTTACATGAGCATGGATGAAGATTTGTTTACAGAAGCAAGGGCACCTTACCAGTCTACCACTAAGAACATGTGTCTTTGTTCCCCTTGAGCCATTAATTGCCATTAATTGTATAAATTCTCAAAATCTTCAGGGAGTGGTGGAGCCCCACAAGGCCCTCCCCCATCTATGACAGGGTGTTAAGGGGCCGAATCTTGTGAAGATTTGTGCAGGTAAACACAGCTGAACTAAGTTCAAGAGTGAAAAAACCATGTCATGCCCAGAAGTCAGTGCTCTAGACCACTTCCTCCTGCTCTTAAATTCTTCTGTCCCTTCTTCTGTAGTGTTCCCTGAGCCTTGGAGGCAGTGAGATAGTTGTTCACTTATGACTGAGCATTCTCAGTTCTTGACTAGTTATCAGTATCTGTGATCACTGCTGACCACTGCAAAAAGAAGCTTCTCTAACCAAAGCTGGCACCAACAGTAGTCTATGAGCATAAACATAGTTGTTTTCAGGACAGTTTGATGGGTACATTATGTTCATTTAGCAAAACAACATCAGTATCTTCCCCTTAGGCAAATGACCTCTCCACCCACAAACTTTTGACTGTGTTTACAGTACTAGACATAAATTCTTTCTGTGTAGCAGGTCTTAGATCCAATAAAAAAGCAGCTGCTTATCCTCATAACAGACTTATCACTTTGCACCATTGTTGGTGGTGTTGCACATAGGGTCCACAGTTGAGTAAGACTGTTGATGACAATTCTCCCCTAGTAACTGTCTCTACGATTGCTAGCCTGCAGAGAGGAAGCTTCCAGCTCAGTTCCAGCATGATTTCTGATATCCTGTGACTAAGGCATGTGACATCTTCAGCAACAGAGTCTTGCCGTCTAGTTCTGGTATGCAACCAGTAACAGAGGCAATTGGCTGTATTACTTTTAGGGCCTCATGGGCCTCACTGACTTAACCATGTGTGTAGAAAGGTAGCCCACTCCTTTGTCACAGGGATTATTAACAACAGCCTCTGGCTTCTGGGAACAGCTTTGTACACCCATGCATCATACCTCTGTTCAAACTCTTTGGGTTTTTAATTTAATTTACTATTAGATATTTTGTTATTTTTATTTTATGTGTATGAGTCTGCGTGTGTGTAAATGCACCTTTGTCATGCAATGCCCTCAGAGATCAGAAGAGGGTATAGATTCCCCTGGAACTGGATTTACAAATGGTTCATAACTGCCATGTGGGTGCTGAGAATTGAACCCAGGTCCTCTGCAAGAGCAAAACGTGTTCTTAACCACTGAGTTGTCTCTGCAGCCCTTTTTATTTTATTTTTTGACTAGCTTATTACTTTTCAGATTTCCTTATGTCTTTTCACACATTGTTAGTTATGATTGACCATTATCTCCCCTCCCCTACCTCCCTCTTCCCCGCCTCCTCCTCAGTTCTTAAATCTTTTCATCTTTCTCCTCCTGTTGTACCATATGGATATTGCCTCAACCCCTTAAAGAATCTTCTTTCATTCACACAGGCATTTTTCTAGTATCCTGGACTCTATACACACTCACTCCCAGGTAAATTCACATATACAAAAATTATAAGCTAGGACCTATATGTGAAAGAGAACATGAGATATTTGTCTTTTAAGCTTGAGTTAGTTACCTCACTAAATATTTCATTTTTCTTCAAATTTCATAATTTTGTTTTTCTTCATTGCTGAATAAAATTTTATTGTATATATCAGTCATAGAAGTCAGCTGATGGACATCTGATTCTACTTCCTTGCTGTTGTGAATAGAGCAGCAGTAAACATGGATGTACAAGTATCTCTGTGGTAGGACATAAAGTCATTTGAGTATCTGCCCCGGAGCAGTAGAGACAGATCATATAGAAGTTATACTTTTAGGGGTGTGTGTGTGTGTGTGTGTGTGTGTGTGTGTGTGTGTGTGTGTGTGTACCAGAGGTCAAAACAGGGTGTCTTAATCTTTTGCTCTCCACCTTTCTTGTGTTAAAATTTATTTATTCTTTCACAATTTTATACATGTATAGTGTACTTTGTTGGACTGGTGGTCAGGGCACCAGGCTCTATCCCTTGTTTTCCCCTGTGTGTAGAATATTATTTTGAAAATTTACTATCCAGGAGTAGACATACTATGAAAATAGAGCAGTAGTCAACTACAAAACAGCCTCCTGTAAGCACCAAGTGAAGGGTTAGTGCAGTGTATACCAACATAGTTATTGTGAGCATGAGTGGAAAAGAAGAAGAAAACAGTAAGACTAGTGGACAGTGTTAAGATGTAGAAGGAAAGAAGAGGAGAGAAACCTTAGGTGAAAAGAAAAGTAGAGAGGTGAAAAGTGGGAGAGGCATGAGGGAATCCTTGCGAAAGGTAGACTGAAAAAAGAGGTAACATATACTACCAAATAATGTACAACAGTCCCCTCTCTCAGGAGGTTGAGGTACAGATCCTGCAAACCAAGCCAGACTGGGTTCTTTGAGAGAAGAAAAAGTAAAAGAAGAGTAAAAAAGAAAGAAAAGCAATATAGAGGGAGAACATAGTAGGTACAGGTGGTGTTCAATAAAGTTGGGTGCAAGGAAGCAGGGTGAAGATACATGACAGGAAAACTCACTGGCCTGGTTGTTGGATTCCTCTGGACTCTCTGGCCTTCTTTCCCATGGCTCCTGGAATCCTTTCTCCCCAAATTACAATTTTTAAAAGTATATTTGTAACCTTTCAAAGGCTACATGGTAATGGGACTATAGAAAATTAGAATTTTAAAAATAATGATTTATTACTATACTAATTACTCTTACAGTTGTGTTGTTGATATTTTTAAATATTTGCACATAATGAGGTACCTACTTTTTGCCTTAGGTATTCAGAACTTTGGGGTTCCATGGAGATTCCTCCACAGTTACTTAAAAATAGGTTTGAAAATCACTATACTAAAACACACTGGGTAACACATGGATGCCTCTGGGAATCATCCAGATGTTAGTTGGCAGACTCCTAGCAGCAGTTCCCAGAGCTCTGTGCATAGCATGACATCACCAGACTTGACAAAACATGCATTTGTGATCCTTAAAATGCCTTAAAGGTTGCTAGTGGAAGATAGTGTGAAATGAACAAACTGAGGAGTTCTAATCCAGAACTCCATACTGTTAGTGATCATGATCCCTGAACAACCCACAACCAGAAGTTTCAGTTAGAGATTAGTAGAATTACATTCATGTTAATGCCATGCTGGTATCCTGATAAAGGTGTTGTATATTATCTGTGCAGTGTCATTCTGAATATTTAGGAACCATTATTCAAAGCTTACATCCTTTTACCTCAGTTCCATATCGCAGTATCTAGGGTGTGCCACTAGTTGTAGCTCTGTTCTGTTCTTGATATTACAGGTCTAAGCCTTCTGCCATGGTTACTTTCTCTCATTGTTTTCTCAACATTCCAGATTTAGGGGTTCCTCAGAATGAACCCAAACTAATATTAAGGTGGATGTTTCAAGTCCGTATAAAGGAACAAGTATTCTGTGCCTCTAGTCTTGCTGAGAGTAGAAGAAAAACCATTTCTCTAAGTCATTGTCCTTCTGAGTTATGCATACTTAAGAACAACACAGGACAATAATTCCTTTACGTTTCTTCCCCCCCCCCTTAGTCTTTCTTTGAAGCAGCAAGCATGATGAGTCAGCTTTCTCACAAGCATTTGGTTTTGAATTACGGAGTATGTGTCTGTGGAGAGGAGAGTAAGTAAAACCACTGACTTTCCTCTCTTACTGTCCTGTATCTCTCAGGGAATTCTTCAGTTTTAGGATCACTGTGGGTATCAGTATAAACCATGGGATTGAAAACTTGAAAGTGACCGGGCATGGTGGCGCACACCTTTAATCCCAGCACTTGGGAGGCAGAAGCAGGTGTATCTCTATGAGTTTAAGGCAAGCTTGGTCTACATAATGAGTTCCAAGCCAGCTAGGGCTACAGGGAGACCTTTCCTTTGAAAAAAAAAAAAAATCCCAGCACTCGGGAGACGGAGGCAGGCAGATCTCTGTGAGTTCATACGTAGATTGGTCTACATAGTGAGTTCCAGGCCACCTGAGGCTAATGGGGGAGACCCTAGCTCAAAAAGAACCCCCCCCCAAAAAAAGTTAAAATGTAGAAGACAGTAAACATGTCATTCTATAAGCCAAATGATGGAAACAATACAACTTTGTGTGCTCACCATAGCAGTACAGATTATGGGTGGTTCATGTAACACTGAAGCAACTAACCCTTTCAGTACAAATTTGTTTAGAATTATGAAAACAAAGCACATGATAGACTGAATTATTAATGGAACTGATCAAAGTAATTAAATACTGACACTAGATATATTCTACATATGTGCTGAAGTAATTATATACATTATATTGTATATATTAATGCTATTTATAATTATATATTAGATTTAAATTGCTAAGACTTCTCTTACTATTATAAACTAAAAACTAATAATATAATGATGTATATCCAATAAGTTTTCTTTAAATTAGTAAATTTTACTTAGTATAATATCTTTACCTAGAGTATCCACAAATAACATAAATATATTTGTGATAATTTAGATTGTACATAAATGTGTATACATTTTTCATTGTGTAATACTTGAGCTGTATTAATACTTACATTTTAATGCAGATATTCTGGTTCAAGAGTTTGTTAAATTTGGATCACTAGATACGTATCTGAAAAAAAATAAAAATTCCATAAACATATTATGGAAACTCGGAGTGGCTAAACAGTTGGCATGGGCAATGCATTTTCTAGTGAGTAATTACTATGTTGTTATTATTATTATTATTATTTTAACCAAAACTTACTGTTTATCTTATGAAGCAATGTAATTATTTTAATCTAACAACAAGAAATAAATCTTGGATACAGAGTCACTCAAAATGATACACATCAGGCGTTGAAAGGTGTTGTTTTAGGCATATGTAGAGGTAAAATCAGTTTTGAAGAAAGTGTCATTCTATCAATCTCCTTTTTATTTATTTTATTCTATGTATGTGAGTGGTTTTTCTGCATGCATGTGAATGCACTATGTGCGTGTAACACCCAAGGAGGCTAGAAGAAGACGTCATATGCCCTAGAACTAGAGTTATGGACAGTTAGCTGCCGTGTGGGTGCTGAGAACAAAACCCAGGTCCTCTGCAAGAGAAGCCACTGCTCTTAACTGCTGTGCCATCTCTCCAGCCCTTCCATCAATTTCCTAGAACTATTGTAGATATCTATATTTTATACCACTTGGGTTTAGAAAATTTACCCAGAATTTACCCAAAACATGTACATGTTGTGCTGCTGTAGATAGTAAAAAAAAATACCTTATGGTGTTTGGACAATTGGATACTATGTTCAGTGAGAAAGCAGTGGTGGCAGAGACATAGAATACCAAATACCCACCAGTTAATTATTAGACCCCTCAGAGTGTACCTGTATTGAACTGAAAATAATTTTTCCTAATGTCAGTTACCATCTAGAAATACATGCCATTTAGAATCTCACCTTTGGGGGCGGGGGAGTAACATGTGCTCACTTCATTATGGTATAGATTATTGCATCATTTAAAGAGTAAATCTAGGGACTAACTTTTATTGTCTCAAAGTATGTCTCCAAATTAATATTTACTATGCTATTTTATATCTCTAAATCTACTTTGTGGCCTTGATCTTATTAAATGCTCAAATATGTGTAGATTGATATTTTATTGTATGTGCATTTAACTTTAATAGGAAGAGAAATCCCTTATTCACGGAAATGTATGTGCCAAAAATATTCTACTTATCAGAGAAGAAGATAGGAAAACAGGAAATCCTCCTTTCATCAAACTTAGTGACCCTGGCATCAGCATTACAGTTTTACCAAAGGACAGTAAGTTCTATGGTGATTGTATTTAACTTTGCTAAGTTTTACTTGGGTGCTAACACTTGTAGCAATCTAAATTATGTTACAGTTAAATCTTGACTTTGCTCCACTTTTACTTTTGTATAAGCATGTCTGCATGGATTCAAAAATTATTTTTTAAGTAATTTCAATTCTTATTCATGTGTGGAACATAGGATTCTATTAATTTTTTAAATATGTGTTCATGTATGTACAGGTGTGTTTACACCTATGTATGAGGCCAGAGGACAACCTCAGATGTGATTCACTTTTCTATGTGTATGCATGTCTTCATGTGCATATAGGTCCACATGTATACATACACGTGTAGAGACCAGAGGAACAGCCTTGAGTGACATTTCTTAGCCTTTTGGGGTTTTTTGTTTGGTTTGGTTTGGTCTGAGGCAGGGTCTTCCAGTAGCCCCAGCTGTCTTGGAATTCCCTATGTAGACCAGGCTGACCTTGATCTCACAGACCTCCTGCCTCTGTCTCCCAAGTGCTGAGGTTAAAGGCATGTGCCACCATGTCTAGCCCCCACCTTGTCTTTTAAGACAAAGTTTCTCATGATCTAGAGCTCACCAAGTGTGCTGGGCTGGCCAGCTGGTCAGATCCCCAGGAATCTGTACCTGCATCCTCAGCACTGGGCTTACAAGTGTGCATGACCACACCTGACTTTTTATAATGTTGGTTCTGGTAATCAAACCCAGGTCTTTGTGCTGGCAAGGCAAATACTTTACCAACTGAGCTATCTACTCAACCCAATTTTATTTTTTTTTATGTAGAACTTTCTAATATCCTTTGAGTCACATTAAATTTAAATTTTTTCCTTTACTCTCACTACTAAATTATTTGAAAGATCTAGCTCAGGATCTTATTTAGCAAAATCTGATGTTTTAACATTTAAGAAAAGGGGCTGGAGAGATGTCTCATGGATTGAGTTTGTACTGTTCTTGAAGAAGACCCAAGTTTAATTCCCAGCACCCACATAGGGGAGGGGGCGCACAACAGCCTCTAACTCCAGTTCCAGGGGCTCTACCACCCTCTCTGGCCTCCATGGGCACTTGTACCAATGTGCACATGCTCACACACAGACATAAACATACACACAAAATAAAAAACAAATAAATAAATAGAAACCTTTTTAAAAACTTGAAAAAAACCACTTCTTATGTGTCTTTTATTAATAACACAGTATGCTAAAAGTAAAAATTGCAGTCTAATAAATGCTTTGTTCCAAATGATGTTATAATTATTACTATCTTGACTATTTTTTCTTGTTTTTTGGTTTTTTTATTAAATTTATTTATTTTGTGTATGTGCATGGGCATGTGTGCTATAGTGCACGTGTGGAAGTCAAAAGGTCACTGGTAAGGAGTTGGTTGTCTCTTTCTACCATGTGAGTCCTGGCATTGAACTCAGGTCCTCAGACTTGGCAACAAGCGCCTTTATGCATTAAGCCATTTTGCTAGCTGTGTCTTAGCTAATTTTCTAATTGACTGCTCTAAATTTAGAAAGTGGGGTTTTGTGCATTGATGTACAATATCCTGTTTGAACCAATGGTTCCCACCATGGTGGCTTACTCCACAGTGACGATAACAATAATAGGACAGTAGTATAGAACAGAAAATCCTGCAGGCCCTTAAATATGGTATTTGAGAAATTTTACCTTTTGAAATGAGAAGTAAAAATAAGGAAAAAATCTATATGATAAAGGAGAGAGGAACCCCAATGTCCTTCTTAATCTCTTTGTTATATATAAAAAATACCTGTATTGCTCTGTGAAAATGTACCCAAAAAATGGAACAGATTATCCTGTATTTTCTTACCTATTTCTCCGTGTCAAAATCTTAGAAGGTGGATTTATACTTCTTCCTTCCTAAATACTATCTTTGTGGTAGAGTCATGAACCACAGAAACTTCACTTGGGAAATTCCATTATCAGAACATTACCAAATATGTCAATTCCATACCTAGAATATGTTGGAGCAGTTTAATCATTTGTCTGCAATGATAATGCCTGTTGGACCTTTTTTAACTGCAAGTCACAGTGCCCACTGCTACTAATACCTACCAATGATGCAACATTACTTGTACTACTTACATATTGTAAATTTTTTCTTAAATATTGAGAGGCAGTTTTAGGACAGATGTTGGAAGTGTTTTATTTTTGTTTTGTTGTTTTTGTGGGAGAGAGACAGAACTAATGGGAGGGGCAGGAAAGAAGTTTAGTTGATTTAAAATTCATTACACAGGATACTAATTCTGACCATACTGTTAACAAACTGTGTAATTTTGGGCTAATTACTCCATCTTTGTGGATCTTAATATTGTTATGGTTAAAGCTGAGCTACTAAATTAGGTGATCACAAGGATCATTTCTAACTGTGTATGCAAACATGAGGCAGATTGGTCCCCTATAACTACAAAAAAGATGATTATTCAAATGAGGAAAACTATTTGCATATAAAATAATGGTTTTGTGGAGATTATTTAACTATACTTTGTTCCTATCATTTAAAAGTTCTTCAGGAGAGAATACCTTGGGTACCACCTGAATGTATTGAAAATCCCAAAAATCTAAATCTGGCAACAGACAAATGGAGTTTTGGTACCACTCTGTGGGAAATTTGCAGTGGAGGAGATAAGCCTCTAAGTGCTCTGGATTCTCAAAGAGTAAGTTCATACAGACTCTGAACTTAGAGTTGCTGTCTGTGAGCTTTCAAATTTCTTTTACATGATTTAATGTTTCTTAGCCAATCTAATTGTAAAAAGAAAGTTGATATAGCATTATAAAATTTATTCTTAGCATTTGATTTTTTTAATTATAGAAGCTACAGTTTTATGAAGATAAGCATCAGCTTCCTGCACCAAAGTGGACAGAATTAGCAAACCTTATAAATAATTGCATGGATTATGAACCAGATTTCAGGCCTTCTTTCAGAGCCATCATACGAGATCTTAACAGTTTGTTTACTCCGGGTAGGTATTGATGAAGTCATCTCATTGATGACTGTCTTTCTACCTTTGCTGTATTTTTTTTAACATTTTCTAATTTTGTAATTCAATCTAATAAATTCTTTGATGTCATAGGGCCCCTCTTAATTTCTTATATTCATATGACTCTGTGCTTTTTACACATTCTACTCTCCTTGATTGAATCGACTTTTATGTTTTAAGGGCTTTTTCCTCCAGGAATCTGATTTTACTTGTTTGTTTAATTGTTTGAACAGTAAAAATTAAACACAAAATTTATTGCATGTTTATTTCCAAGAGTATTAGAACAATCCTAGTTTAGTTTGCCAGTTAATGAAAAGCATGTTTACTTGGCTAATTGAGTTCTTAACAGCAATCCTTTTTGTTTTTCCTAGTTCTCATTTATTTTGTAATTGATTGATTTTTCCAAACATGAACTAGATTTATTTTTCTTTCTAACACTGAACTCCTTTCCAACACTGAACTAAATCAATGGGTCAATCAAAGGCAGTATTACTCCCAAGGGAATTCAGAATCTAACCTACTTTGTGAATACTAAAACTCCCTGTTTGGAAAATAATTTATCCTTTGCAGAATCTTTCTTGATAGCCTATCAGATTATGGGTAATAATTAAAGGCTCCCATTGACATAATCTAAATAATTTTGAGTTTCCCTGTGTGGTATTTCTATCTCATTTTGTTTATCAGCTTGAATTTTTATCAGTTGTACCCAGAGAATGTGTTTGCCAATTTAAGATAGTGTTATTCTTTATTTGTATAGATTATGAACTATTAACAGAAAATGACATGCTACCAAACATGAGAATAGGTGCCCTAGGATTTTCTGGTGCTTTTGAAGACAGAGACCCTACACAGTTTGAGGAGAGACATTTGAAATTTCTACAGCAACTCGGCAAGGTAAACTGTCATAAGTTTTTCAAGTAGAGTATTATATGTCATTTTATCTGAGACAAAAAAGACTGTTGACTATAGTCTCTAAAATCTAGTTTCCACAAAAATTCTAAGGGGGTATTTGTAGATTAAAAAAATGCTTAGTTGTCAGATATTAGAGGAATGTGTTAAGTAATAACTCTTTACTGAAGACTACTTCAGATCTTTTAACATGTAATATGCATTCAACATCTTCAAAGGGATAGAGGATAAATTAGTCAGTGTTCAAATTGATTTGACCGTGGGTCTCCTAATTTGGAAGGGGGAGTTTGTGGTTTATAGTAAGTTAGTAAAATAGAGAAGGGAACATTAAATGTTTTATCTGCCTTTCTGACTTTATTTGTCTTGGGGAAATAATCTCATTATTAGGGCATTGAATGCACCATGTTCATGAACAAGTCTCATTAAAAGGTCACATGACATGTATGGCCTTAATAATGTAAAGATGAGAAAAGACTCAGTGCTTGGCAGACTTAATCATAGTGGGAAGCTCCCTCTCCTTATGTTTGCTTATGTAGGATTCTTACCATATCTCATTATGAACTGAATTTTGGCATAGATATAATATTAAGGCCTCACTTAGGCTTTGAAACTAAATTAAATATTCCATTGAGCATTCCTAGCGCTAAACCTTAAAACATTGGCCTAACTATATTAATACTTTGCTGTTATTCTTTTTTTTTAATACTCTTAGGAACATTTGAAGGATAACCAATGAAAAAAAGAGTCCAGATAATAGGAATATTCATTATCTGTTGCTGTGTACAAATTACCCTAAAACAACAAAAAACAAATCTTTTATCCCCAGTTTCCTTGAGTTGAAATCTGGAAACTATTTACCTAGGTTGCTTTGGATCACAGTTCAGTCTAAAAGCTTGACTGGAAGATCTGCATCTAAGCTCGTTCATGTACTTTCAGGCTTATGTGGGCCTCTCCACTGGGCTGCCTCACAACATGGCAGCTTAGAGCAGACACCCAAGGCAGAAACCATAGGGTTTATAATGTAATCACATATGACACCTTACCATTCTTGCCATATTGATCATTTCTTGACAATATACAGTATATTCAGAATTTTTCAGATCATAGAAATCTTTTCAATGTCTCCTCTTTTATCTATTGACATCTCATAGAAAGTGTTCTTTGCAACAGTTTTGGAAATTATACTTTAGATGTGAAAGTAATTTTTTCGTTTTACAATGACAAAAATAAAAATAAAGGGAAGTGAAACACCTTGTCTCTAGTCACACAGCAAAATAGAAGCAGGTATGAGGTAAGTGCCATTGCCTCCTACTCCTTCTGGGCCCCTTCCACTATCCTACATGTGTAATTGATTTCGTGTGAGTGTGCTTCCATCACACCATCATTGTCTAAAAACTTTTTGTTTTTGCATATCATATATTAGGGCATTAAGACATAAGAAATGTCAATGCTTTTTAAAATTCTTTGCTTTCTCTATCCCAAACCTATATCTCTATTAAGTGACTTCACTCTGAAGTCTGTAATCCCTAAAATAACTTTAATTACAACATTTTAGACCCTGAAATCCTGCTTTCTATTTTAAAACTTTTTGTCTTTTAACTCTTCCCATCATAGGCCTATTTTTTTAGTTGAGTTTTTGCAGATTTCATACAATATATTTTGATCTTAGAGTCCGTGCCCCTATCTGCACCCTTCTTACTACCCCTGCCCAATTTTGTGTACTCTATTTTATAATACTTCCTCACTTCCCCATGTCTATCCTGGGATTTTGTTTGGCTTGAGCTTATGTGGGCCTTGTGCATGCTGTCATCGTTGTGAGTTCATATGAGTAACTGACCAGCTGTCTGGAAAACTGTTTCCTTGTCGTCATCCACCACCTCTGCCTTGTGAATTTGATACTTTCTTCTCAAAGCCTATTATCTAACTCCTAGATTCAGCTCTCTCCTGCCTTAGAGTGGTGTATCCCTGGAAGGCTGTTTAAACCCTGCTCTCATCATTAGACACAATGATATCGCCTTCCTTTCCCTCTGTTACCTGCTTCACTTTACCTTTCATTTCTAGAATAGAAACAGTTCAGTTCTGCATCTTTGTTTGTTTGTGCTTCCATCTCTCCAATTGCTATAAGAAAAAAAAATGAGTTCTCCAATTGCTATGAGAAGAAAAATGCTTGGGGTTGGGAAGATGGTTCAGTGGGTGGAGTGCTTGCTGCATGAGCATGAAGAGCCTGAGTTAAAATCCCAGCACTAATGTGAAAAATTAGGGTGATTATACATGCCTGTAATCCCAGAGCTGGGAGGCAGTGACAGGAAGATTCTGGGGGCTTGCTGGCCAGCCAGCCAGTCTAGCCAATCAGTAAGTTCCGGTTTCAGTAAAAGACCATGTTTCAGAAAATAACATGGAGAAAATTAGAGGAAGACACCCATCCCTGACCTCTGGTCTCCACATGTGCATACATTAGTGTGTGCACTTGCATCTACTACACAGAAAAATTTTAAAAATGTTTATTATCTCTAATCTCCATTGCAAACTAACTTCTAATACTGGGTAGGTATTAGGATCCCTTTTTGCCAATAATTCTTTTATTTTCTCTTACACTTTCTTGTTTGATCTCATTCTATTCCTCTTTGGTTTCCTATCCCCAATTCTTTCTCTTTGCTCTCAGCATTGTCCTACATAGTTTTCTGGTTGAAATTTTAGGTACTCTAAATTAAAACAATACACTTAATATTTACCACTCAATTTGACAAGTTATAGAAAAATCATAATGGCCACTGTTGACATAGATGTCATAAAATTGACACTTTCAGCTGGCCATGATGGTGTTTGCCTGTAACCCCAGAACTTAGGAGGTAGAGGCAGGAGGATCAGACATTCAAAGTCAGCCTCAGCTGCATAGCCCATTTGAGGCCAGCTTGAGCTACATGAAATCCTGCCTCAAAAAACAACAACAACAACAAAAAAAAAAAAGCCAGGCATGGTGGCACCTGGAGGCAGAGGCAGGCAGATCTCTGTCACTTCAAGGCCAGCCTGGTCTACATAGTTGCAGGCCAGCCGTAGCTACAGGAGACCCTATCTCAAACACACACACACACACACACACACACACAAAAAAAAAAAAAAAAAAAAAAAAAAAAAAAAAAAAAAAACAAACAAAAAAAACACTTTCTCATTTTTTTATTAGACTATAAATTGGTAACCCTTTCTAAAGAATTCTGATGCAGTCGGTATCAAGAACCTTTGAAATATCCATATCTTTTGAAAAGGAAATTCTTAAGATATCATTAATTGAGATGTACACCAATATTTATGAATATGATTGCAATGACATGAGTATATTCTTAGTATGTTGTTTCCAGTTCAAGCAGTTAGTGCATTCGTGTGACAATATATAAGAATTAAAAATCAGGGCTGGAGAGACAGCTCAGCAGTTAAGAGTGCTTGCTGCTGTTGCAGAGGACTAGAATTTGGTTCCTAGTACCCATTTCAGGTAGCTTACAGCTGCCTCCAACTCCATGAGATCCAGTGCCCTCTTTTGGCCTCTGTGGGTACCTGCACACGTGTGCATACTTAGACACATGAATAAAAATTAAGTCTTCTAAAAAATAATATTTAAAAAAGCATCTGGCCAGCTGGTGAGATGGCTTAGCATATGGTGCTTGCCACCAAGCCTGATGACCTGGGTTCAGTCCTCAGAACTCCCGTGGTGGAAGGAAAGAACTGATTCTTAGAAGTTGTCCTCTGACCTCCACAAGCACACTAGCATAAATGCATCTCCCCCCATACACAAGAAGACTCAGGTTCGTATCCCAGCACCCACATGGCAGCTAACAACCATCTGTAACTCCAATTCCAGGGGCTCTGATGCCCTCTTCTGTCCTCTGTGGGCATTGTATGATATGGGTGCACTTACATACATGCAGGCAATACACTCATACACGTAAAAATAAATCAAAAAATTAAAAAAAAATTTTAAAGTTATATTTTCAAAGACTGTGACAGTGGAAAATGGAGAAATGGCTCAACAATTAGGAACACATACTTCTCTTACAGAGGACCAGATTTTGGTTTCCAGCACCCACACTGGGTGGCTCACAACCACCTGTAACTCCAGCTCCATGGGTATCTGATGTCTCTGGCCTCTGCTGCACCTGGTCTCACAGGCACACATAATTAAAAATAAATCTTTAAATTATTGGAAAAGAATAAAACTCTGAATTCCCACTTTTGTTTTTTAAGGTATGCTTTGGAATAATAGCTGAAACAGCAATATAAGATGACATTTTGTTGAGAAGAAGGCAGAGCTTTGGTGTTCAGAGAGGGAATTGCATTGCTTATGGTCACAGTAAGCAGTGGACCAAGATTCTGGCTCTAGTATGTCTGACTCAAGAGTCCCAGTTTTGAGCTGACTCAATAAAGTGAGAGGACAAGAGTTCAGTCCCCAGAACCCTTGTCAAAATCCTGAGTGTAGCCAGATGTGGTGGCACATGCCTTTAATCCCAGAGGCAAGCTCAGATCTCTATGATATTGAGACCAGTTTGGTCTACATAATGAGTTCCAGGCCAGCTGTGGCCACAGGGAAACCCTGTCTCAAAAATAGAGAGAAAAAAAACAACCAAACAAACAAACATAGGAATATTCCCCATAGACCTTCTTAAGTAAAGTAGAATATTAGTTTGTATGGTATTTTTTTTTTCTTTTTTGGTCTTTTTGAGACAGGGTCTCCCTGTAGCCCCAGCTGTCCTGGAACTCACTATGTAGACCAGGCTGGCCTTGAACTCAGAGAGCCGCCTGCCTCTGCCTCCCGAGTGCTGGGATTAAAGGCGTGCGCCACCATGCCCAGCTAGTGTGTATTTTTCTATATAACAAGATACCATAGTCTGGCTGGCTTACATAATATTTATTTTCATAGTTTTGGGCACTGAAAAGTCTAGGATCGGTGTTCTAGCAGGGTTTGCTTTCTAGTGAAGACCTTTTCATGGTTTCAGATGACTTCCTTTTGAAGAGAAAGTTCTGGTGTTTATTGTTCTTATAAGGGTATCAGCCATATTGCATTAGAGTGCCACCCTTAGGACCCTTGAATCTTTGTCACTGTATAGGGGGTACTGTTCATATACAGTCACATTAGAGATTAGGGCTTCATTGAATATATTTCAGGGGCACACATAGTCAGTTCATAGCATCCTTTATTTACTGAATGTCAAAGGATGCATTGTGATAGAGTGACATTCTTCTTGGAAGTTAGTTATAGGAATTCAGGAATCTTATAGCATGTCTTAGTCTTTCTTAATAATTGATTTTCATCATTTGTTTAAAGATTTTTTTTAACTCTTTTTGGTGTTTGAGATAGATTCGCCCTGTGGCTCCAGATGGCCTAGAACTTGCTATGTAGAGCAAGCTGGCCTGGATCTCATAGAGATCTACCTGCCTCTGCCTCCTGAGTACTGGGATTAAAGGAGTGCACCAACCCGCCCAACTTAATCTTGGTTTTGTTTTTTCTTTTCCAGAGCTGAGGACCGAACCCAGGGCCTTGTGCTTGCTAAGCAAGTGGTCTACCACTGCAATAAACCCCCAACCCCTAAAATAATGTTTTTAAAGTATACTATGTACTTCAGTCTGTAATTCCTTTTAAAGAAGTTTTGAAAAATATATAGGTATACTACCTAGCTGTTTAAATATTTCCTTTTCTGTTCTGATCTGAAAGTTGCCTAGGATAGACTTAGAATGTTGTCTCCTAATTCTCACTATCAGTATTTCTCATAGAATTAGAATTTACTAGTAATTTTCTTTGAAAACCTTTTGACTTCCATCCTAATGTAACATGTTTAGGGTAACTTTGGGAGTGTGGAGATGTGCCGCTATGACCCCCTACAAGACAACACTGGAGAGGTGGTGGCTGTTAAAAAGCTACAGCACAGCACGGAAGAGCACCTCAGGGATTTTGAAAGGGAAATTGAAATCCTGAAATCCTTGCAGCATGACAACATTGTAAAGTACAAGGGAGTATGCTACAGTGCTGGTAAGTTGCCTGTTGAAACCTATTTTAATTTCAAGGTATGTCTTTGACATCCTGAGTAGTTGAAATATACAATGCCCAAGATTAGCCAGTGCCCAGAGACATGCATTCTTTGCCTGGAGAGTGTGCGAGGAGTTTGTGGGCTATAACTACATGAAGATTTTGGCAGGTTGATTAATCATTTTCCTCACCTCTTCCTTAAGCTTAACAAAAGTGTTATTTTTAAACAAATTATTTTCTTGTACAGTCTGTCAAAAATTTTCTATTAGATACTTTTGTTATAAATGAGAGAAAAAGTTTTATTATCAGATTATTTGAACTTGAATAGAGAGTTAATGACTAAAGCATCTTTTTAAAAACTTTTGGATTGAAAAGCCTGTGTTCCTAACTACAGTATCACCTTTACTTTGTAATAGGGTTTTATCACCTTAGACCCAGATTTTGCTTATACTTAAATCTCCTAGTATTTAACCAGTAAAATAGAGCAAAGTAAAACATTATGTTCCATTCATATGTTAAAAGGTCGGCGTAACCTAAGATTAATTATGGAATATTTGCCATATGGAAGTTTACGGGACTATCTCCAAAAACATAAAGAACGGATCGATCACAAAAAACTTCTGCAGTACACATCTCAGATATGCAAGGTACCAATTATCCTAGCTATTTGTTGTGGAAGAAGTAAGCATGGTAAAATAATTTAAAGTTACAGACTTTTCTGTAGCTAATAAAGGGAATTCATAGGAACACAGCCACATGTTATGTTTATACAGCTAACTGAAAGAAATGCTATTTTATCCATAGGGTATGGAGTATCTTGGTACAAAAAGGTATATCCACAGAGACCTAGCAACAAGAAATATATTGGTGGAAAATGAGAACCGAGTTAAAATTGGAGATTTTGGATTAACCAAAGTCTTGCCACAAGACAAAGAATACTACAAAGTAAAAGAACCAGGTGAAAGCCCCATATTCTGGTGAGTACAATGTTTTTCAATATAATAAAGTAAAATTTTAGAGTTGAAAGGCTTCAAACTTAATTTTTACTCTTATTTAATATATAATATTTAATAATGTTCAATATTAGTCTTGCTTATAATAAATCATTATCATATGCTTTATACTGGATCAAATAGATTTATGGCTTATCTCATGTCACCTTTTAACAACTCATGAAGAATATATGTTAATAATGATTACAGATCAAGCATTCTTAACTGAATACCCCAAATTCAAGAAGCACTGTAGTATATGAAACACTTTGAGTACTTGAGTAACACTTAAGAGAGTTCCAGATTTGGGGTTTTCAGAATAGGGATACCTTATTGGTAGACTGTATGAATGTTGCAAATATGAAAAGCTCCAAAATCTGTAGCACTTTTAGTCTCAAGCATTTCCATCAAGGTTTATTCTACCTATATCTCTATTTTAAGCATAAAGGAACTGAATTGTAGATATAAGTTGAGTACCCCACCCAAGCTCACATGACTGATAAATGATAGAACTTGGATTGACCATCAGTTCGATCCTAGCTTTTAGGCTTTGGGGCTGTAGAGATGACTCAGCAATTAAGAGCACTGGATGCTATTGCAGAAGACCCAAGTTCAGTTCCCAGCACCCACATGGCAGCTTAACAACTATCCTGACTCAAGTTCCAAGGGATCTGACACCCTTCAGATCTCCATGGGTATTGAATGACATGGGTGCACTTGTATACAAGTGGGCAATACACTCATACACATTAAAAAAAAAAGATAAAATATAGTAATAATAAAAAGAACTGTTTTAAAAATGAATCTGGAAACTACTTTGGGCTAAAAGGCTAAAAATAAGGAACAAGACTAAGTACACACACACACACACACACACACACACACACACATATCTTACTATGTACCTTTATATCTTTACATGCTGTTTTTAAATTGGAGCTCTAAATACATTTTCGTGTCTGGAAATGGAACTCTCTTATCCGCCCCTCTTATATGAATATGAGTTCCTAGCCAAATGTGGTTGTGCAGGCTTTAATCCCAGTACTTAAGAGGCAGAGGAAGGTGGATCTCTGTGAGATAAAGGCCAGTCTGATCTACATAGTGAGTTCCAAGCCAGCTGTGGCTGCAGGGAAACCCTGTCTAAAATAACAAAAAAAAAAAAGTGCATTCTTTTGAATATTCATGTGTGTTCATTTCCCTATATGTCTTAAAGAAAATGCTTGTCCATGTCCCATTAGAAAAATACAAAAGCTTCACTGTGACTTTAAAAGGGGTTGAGTGGAGTCTCCAGCTTGCTGGGGAGAATTGATGGGTGAAGGTCTTGGGTTTTCCTGCTATGGCTTATCTTCTCAGTTATTCATACTTCTTTCCCCTTGAACAAAGTTTCCATAGTTTACACTTGATATTTCTCCATGAGTTTATTATTATTTTTCTTTTTAAATAAGTTGTTTTTCATTGTATTTTGCCAGTCTTTGTGAAAGGCAATTGATTTTCGTGTGTTTTACCTCTGTCTGGTAACTTTTTTGAATTTTCCTTTTTTAAATTTTTTATTGAATTTTTGTGTATTTCACTGTATTGAATTTTCATAGTAGGTTTAATCATGGTTAACCAAGTTCATTGCCTTGGATTTTATCAGTAAACTATCATATCACCTATAGAGATTGGCAGCTATACTGCTTCTGTTTCAATGTTTTTAATTTTAATTTTTTATTTAGTACATTGATTCTGAGTTCCTTTAAAAGACAGTTGGTAACAGGCATTTGTTACAGAAAAATTTTTTGTGACTCATCTCTAAGTTAACTTTTTCATGTTATCAAAAGATACTTTATGAAAAAAAGTTGAAGGCTACTGAAATGATTATTTATATATATGTATAAAATAATTTATTGAGAATTTCATACAGGCATATAAACATATAAGGTGTTTTGATCAAATCCATGCCCACTCCCTCCCCTCCAACTCCTCCCACATCACCCCATCACTTTTTTCTGATAACTTCATGTACTCTTTCTTCTTTTTGCTACTCTAACATTCCCCTCTCTGAAAAGGTAACCCTAAAATCTTTAGATAAGAGCTCCGAAATACTTTCGACAATTTTGGCCTTTGGAATGGAGTATGTTGCCAAGAGGCCCAAGGACATTGTGACTTTTAGCTAAGAAACTGGCTACTTTTCTTTGGGGTCTTTTTTTTTAAATAACCACATGATTAGAAGAAGCACTTCATTACAGCTTTAACATATTCAATAACAATTTCCAGAGCAGGGATACATCTCTTTCAAAAGTGGCTGTAAATTTTTAAGTTCACAGTTTAATTAATACAGTTATACCATATTGAACTCAGTATTAACTTGTAAGACATAGAATTGAATGAATTTTTAATCTTTAAAAAAGATCTCCATTTCATTTTAAAATAATGCTGTTTCCTACAGAAAGTCTCATTTTTAATGCTACTAACGCTTAGATGTTTGCACATGTGTCTCTAATCTCTGTGTATCTGATTATTACTAGTCACATTCGGTTACACAAACAAGGATCTCTAGATAGGCTGAATAGATTCAGTGGATGGACAAGCACTCGGGAATGGCTGGGGGTGCTGACAACACAGTGGTCAGTAACAGGGATGACAGAGTATATGGGCTCCAGTGGGGGGGGTATGGGAGGGTGCCATTTGAGAAGTGGATATATAGATGAATAAGATTGTTTGGGATGTTCTATATGATATATACACAAAAAAATCAACAAATAAAAAAATGACATATTTGAGGAGGAAGCATAAAAATTTACTTCATGTTAATTAGTAGAGGTGTTAAGTATTACCATTGAAATCTTTGGGGTCTTTTTACACTAACTGCCTAGCAAATTCCTACCTCCTATTCTTAGCATACCATCCTCTGAAGAGGTTACCGAACTTGCAGATAGGGAATTGGGATGCAGACTGTTCTGGCTTCTTCCATGCTGAAAAGGGACGCAGGGTGAGTCAACTTGGGTACCCCTTCAGTGGGTCTATCTAAAAGACTCCCAAATTGCATAACTCTTATCTGTAAGGGGAAAAAAAAGTCCTTGACTGGTGAATAGGAGATGTAAAGGAGAAGTAAAGGCAAGAGTAATTGGCATTACAAGTTCTAGTCAGGGAACTAGAAAAAAGGTCAGAACAGGACCAATTTCAAATGTTCATGTGAGAGTCCATTGGAATTTCTTGACAAGGGCTTCCAACAGCATTCCTCTATTGGGTTCCTCCTCATTTTTCTTTTGTCTTCCGAGGCTAAACTCAAGAGTGATGGATTCGGGATTTGCTTTCAGGCATTTTGATAGCTGTTGGAATGGTTAGAATCAGTGTTAGTTCCCTCTCAAAGGGTTCTAGATAGGGAGAGAAAACAAATTTGGCCATTGTTTTAGAATAGTAGCAGGTTGTCTCCCTTAGCTATAGGTGAGCACTACGGTATTGGAGACCAAGATTTAAAATCTTATATCTGAGCAGCACTTTCTGATTCAGAATAAAATCATCAATGAGAAATAATTGTCTAAATAACTTTTTATATGGACTTAAGCCTAATGTCGGAGAAGCATAATCCCTTGAACTCTTAAAGAAATATACTGATCACTTTACACTTTGGTTATACTTTCTTTTTGGTTGTTTAAGACTATACAGTTGGCCCGAATAAATCAATTTATATTTACACTTAAGGTCATTTCAGAATCTGTTCCTCAGGGTTCACATGGGCTTGGGAGGAGCCCCTGGCTCCTTTCTTTTACCACTTCCATCTATGTAGAAGATAAGTCAAAGGTCCTGCTCAACCATGTCTGGCTTCACTTGGAAGCATGGGACTGGACACTGGTTCAAGTCCATCTGGTGGGGTCTTCATGGCCTCCCTGAACAAGAGAACAACAGGTGTCTCACCACAGTTACAGGACATTTTGAGAGATGTTCCATAGTCCCCTGGAACTTAGTCGACCTTGGAGGGCAAGGGGAAAAATTGTCCTTCAAGTCCCTCTGACCACATTAGTATAGGCCTCAAAGTATGGCTGTTAAACATCCAATATGGTTAGTTCCACCAGTCTGGTACTTTTAATTACCATGTGCTATGTAGATAAATCTTGGGTAAAAAATGAAATGTTCTCAGATAAACCTTAACTAGACATATATTTTGTTCCTTAAACTAGTTGACTAAACTAGTTTATTGTTTTTGTCTCACTCTTTATATATAATAACAGACCAACACAGACCTTCATCACTTGCTTAGGCTTTCTCAATTTTTCTATTTTGGAAAATATCTCCATTCCCATATCCTTTTAACATGTTTTACATTCTCGTTTTCTTTTTTAATAATTATGAGACATAATAACATTAACAAATTTTCCATCTGTTGTAAGAATTCTTTTCCTGGGGATACTGAGCAATGATTATTCCCTTTTAAGGTTCTAGTGTCAAACCAATGTTTAAATTAAAGTTTTCCTGGGGAGCCAATGAATTTACTGAGGTTACTTACAAAGATGACTGAGGGGTTGCTGAAGTGTATGAAAAACCTGAGGGTATACACACTGGAAAGCCTTTACCCAGCACGGGTCAAGCCTTCTCTTATTAGCTTTCCCCACATTTTATACTTTAGCCCTCCCCAAATCCAGGAGACCATGTGCGATTAGGGCCAGATTACACACAGTTGGCTGGGAAGAGTGGCTGGATGCTCCGGTGAGGGTGCAGTGACCCTGCTTGCCTCTCCTTTAATGAAGGAGCACGACTGACATCAAGCCCAATTGTGACAGTGTTTAACAGTCAGGCACTGCTGCAGTCATGATGATGGTAGTTACTTCTTGCAGAAGAGACTGCTGTACAGTATCATCTTGTTAAAGGGACATGGAATTTAAAAGGATTTGGTGCTAGGAGCCACAAATAAGGGAGAGCGTATGTTTTTATTTTCTGAGTCTGTGTTACTTCACTTAGTATAACAGTTTCTAGATCCATCCATTTACCTGCAAATTTCATTATTT